CCTTACCTAGGAGACCATACGCTTTCCTCTATGTCTGTAACGTCTGTGATACACATGTTAACCAGTTCAGTTTTGGAACGAGGGAATCTGACAACAATAAATAACAGTGGTAATAACAACAATGATAACAATACTGTGTTGCTGGTTCATTTTGTAGTCTCAAATTGTCATTTTTAAAATAATTTATGTATGTGGCTTATTTTTTCATGTTAATAAAATTTTGTTAATTTTAGTTGATTTAAAACTGCAAAAAATCAACTCTGCACAAAATAAACCAGCTATACAATGATAGTAAAGAGGCAATACTACATGTACATGAACCTTTTCCACTCAATCTTATTATTATTCGTGTAGGTAATATTTTGATACTGATTGCACCATGTAGCTATGAGATTCACATGCTCAGATAAACTCTCAGATAAATTACATTCAGTTAATCCTAATACATAACTGCATGAGAGAGAGAGAGGGATAGAGAGAGAATTAAGGAGCATAGTTACATTTATAATAAAGTTTTAAATTAATGTCTTACAGTTCTTGCATAACTGATACATTGTTCACTAAAGGAGGTATCAATGATAGTACAAAGTCTCTGGTGACCACTGATGCATGCTGTGAAGCGGCTAGTATTGCCTGTTACTTAATAGTCACATAATAGTCATGTAATCAGTCTCACCTTTTGAAACATCTAGTGGAGTAACTTACCAACCAACATAGCTTCTGTTTGAGAATAACCTTTGAATAGATCCTCAAGGATAGATCTGGAAGGGAGATGTACAATGTACATGTAATGTCATGTATAACAAATAGTATTTGTCAAAAATGGATAAGATAGTGATCTCAATTTTTCTGATACTGTGAGCCTCACAGTAGTGTGAGCTGATTCAAATAAAAATTGGATTTTTGTATCAATTTTTTTAAGTTGCTCAAAAAATTTGACAAAATTGTACATGTACACTACATGCAAATGCATGTCATTTTTACCTTCTGGTGCAAGTGATTCCATTACTAATGCTACTTACACAAACAAGATAATCTGGATTAATGATAATACATCCAGCATTATCATTACTGATGACAAAGCAATCCTGTGAAGGAGCATGAGAAACAGAAGCACTTAAAGTTGAGCAGCTGGAGACAATATGTATTATATCGCCAACTCTGACATCAGACTGAATCCTAAAAGAAGAAACATGACTTTAAACAATCAAATTTTCATTTACCAGTCGTCTCTGAGATAACATAAAGTCTTCTTTTCTTCCCCTCTCTCCTGCTCTTCCTCAGTAAATTTTTAAAATGGTACAAGATTGAGGGCTATCTGACTGTTTGTTCTTCCGTCATTCTCGTTTCTGTATTTCTTCCTATTAACAGCCATTACTTTATATCTTGGTGGCAAAGTCAAATAAATA